GAGGTTCACCTTTGGGTGTGTTGGTGAGGGCGTTTCCAGTCAGGCTTAACTGAGAAGGAAAAACCTTGAACTTCTGATAATCCTGCCTCCTCCTCCTTAGTACTGGGACTATAGGTATGCGCCATCAGTTGCAGTTTTATGTGGGGCTGGAGTACTCTGCCAACTGAGCTAGATCCCTAACCCTGGCTGAAGTAATCTTCATTGTGTAATTGGCTCCTTCAGTCTTACCAGCTGAGTGAGACCTCTGAACTGCATACGGTCTCCATTGTGCTCTAAGCACCTGGAAAAAATATAAATAAATGATAAATAAAAAGTAAACAAAAGCAGGTCCATTTTCATGTTGCCTAAAATGGGAAGTTCCAAACTAGGATAGTTTCTTTTAAGGTCCTTGTATGCTTTCTCCTTTTTCTGTTCTGCAGTAAAAGATCTCTAATCCCCTAAGTTAAATTACCCATAAAAAACAAAAGATACTTAGATGTTCTCAGGAACTGTCATAACCATAAAGCACACCTGCCAGTCCTGTCCGACACACATCTGGTTAGTACTGCCCTCACTGACTGGGATATAGGTGCCTCATTTGAATGATATTTTGTTAGTAATATACATGCTGTCCTGTTACTTCAGGCATGATCTCCTTTAAAACTAGAGATTCTTATTACTCCCAGGAGCTGTCTGTATAGAGTTTGTTTCCCCAAAGGTTGAGCTATAGGAAAATTTAATGATTGTCCAGGCTTCCCTTTCTGACAATAGGACATTCCCTTATTTATCTGTCACCCACCCCTGTCAGATGGGAGGCATTTGGAAACTTGGCTTTCTGGCTCCCATTATATCTTCCTCCCAGTGGGAGATGGAAAACATGCAGAGGAGCAATGAGGGAGTCAAGGAGATGGAGAACCTGCCCACACGCTCAGTTATGGTATCAGCTGTGTCTTCATACTCTCTCTCTTGTGTTTCTTGGGGCTACTTTTTGTTACCCATTTCTTCTTTGCTTCCACAGCCAAGACAAATTGTCTATATTTTTCATGTGTTCTATGTTGCTCAACTGTCTAGTTACTTTTTCCCCATAACAGTCCATTCCCTTCTTAGGCCTATCCTCAGTGAGGAAACTTGCACCTCTTTCCCACTCTTAAGTCCATGTTCCTATATTCTTTAGCTCTAAACTTAGCAAGTCATTCTGTGACCATACCGATTTTGTTGACCGATCTCCAGCACCTGGTAATCTACATCACCTGGCAACCATCAAGACTCAGTAGACATTCACGGAATGAGGGAATGAAGGCAGGTGCACATGTTTTCTGCTATTACCTGGTCCTATGTGACAAGAACTGGAATTATTACAAATTCATGGCTTCTGTCTTAACCCCAAAATTGTTCCCTAAGTCAGCCTGGCTATTTTAACCCTTCCTAAATATGTTCCTTAAGCTCCTGGTTTGGTTTGCTTTGTTTTTTCCAAGACAAACTTCCTGGTTCCTCAAAAAAAACAATACCCAAAGGAACCAAAGTTAGTACACAATAGAGACACCTGCACTTTTTATGGTAACTAGCTATGCAGTCAGCCTATATTCCCAGTAATGAATAAAGGGGTACAGAATATGTGGTATGTGTACTCTATGGCATATAATTCAGCCATAAAAGAATTAAATCACATCATTTGTAAGAAAATAGATGTGGGGTTGGAGATATATTTCAGTGGTTAAGAGCACTGGCTGCTCTTGTAGAGGACCTGGGTTTAGTTCCCAGCACCCACATGGCAGCTAACAACAGACTGCAGTTTCAGGGGATCTGATGCCCTCTTCTGGCTCCACAGGCACTGCATGACATGGGTACACTTACATATATTCATGCATAAGCACTCATACACATAAAATGAAAGTAAAACATTTTTTAAAGAAAAGAAAATGAATGTAACAGGGGATCATCGTGTTAGGTGAAATAAGCTAGACTCGGAAGGACAAATATAGAATGTCTTCTCCCATATACAGAATATATAAGCAGTTACCTTCTTTGTCATAAACACAGCTCAATGCATGTTTTATGTTTTTCTCACAGAATTACACAGGTTAATTTGAATTTTAGCTCTCAATAATTTTTTAAATGAATATGCAGTAAGAATGCAGTTATAAAGTGTTCCTTTGTATACTAACAATGAAAACAATTTATGAAAAAATTAGGAGATCCAAACATACTGCTTTTCAGAAAATTTAAGAGTCCAAGAGTACTTGAATTTATATTTAGCGATCGATGTTTCTTTATTTCAACTTAGAAATGACTCATTATTTTCTCCATCACATAACTTCCAGATGAAGAGTAAACTTACGAACTTTTGTATACACTTCATTGAGTTTTAATAATTACTTCTACATTACCATGAAAGCCAAGGTGTTAGACAAACATAGTAATCATGACAAGCTATATCTAGGTCAAATAAAAACAAGATGAAATGTCACTGTACCTGAAACATAAAGCACTGGACTAAAAGTATAATTTTAGTTATAAAAACAGGGCAATATGGTAATTAAATTTACTTGTTTATTTAGAGCATTGGCTATAATAAAGCATGCCTTTAACAAAACAGCACAAATTAAGGTCAACAGATTGTATGGAAAAGCTTTAAGATATTAATTTGAAATTTTATAAGCTATTGAGCAAAGATCTTAAATAAAACCCGTCACATCACAGATTGGATAGACAGATTTTTTTTAAAAAAAAATCTTTACATGTTAAGCCAGTTATTGAAATTTAAGAGTTATCTTTAAAGTGTTTTTTAAAAAAAACCTTTTCAATTAGCCATGCTGATAAAACAAACTATTAAATTATGTGTGTGGCACTCAAAGTGAATGAGATAGGAAAAGGCCATTAGGTGTTAGAATGAGCCCAGTAAAAAACTGCGGCAATCCCTGCTGAAAAGAATGGAATTGGGCAAACTGCACCAAAGCCATTTTTTAATAAGTCTTGGAGCCATTGTCTTAGTCACTGTTCAGTTACATCTGGTAGTGATGAAGACGACCAACTATCTTCCAGGATGGGCATCTCGTTGCTGATTGTAGCTACCTGTAGTGATCAGATTGAAAACGTTCCCAGTACGGTCAGCAGCTCAAATTTGAGAACTTCCACTTCTCTACTTACTGCCAGCATTTACACACGTATTAACTCATTTGCTTCTTCTTACAATGTAAGAGACGCTATGAAGAAATGAGGCACAGAGAAGAGCCTAAGCATCGCGTTCCCATGAACGGCTTTCTGGAATAGAGAGATAGAATGGACGTATCAATCAAAAGACTGCATGCAGACCAGGTTGATGTAAGAGCCGGACATGGGGATAGCCTGGAGCTGCTTACAAAGGGGCCAAAACTGCCATGGAAAAGGAATGTTTATGGTGACAGGCTATTTTGGAAACATTTTTGAGGTAATATTGCCATCTAGTGGTCAGAATACAGTAGCATTCACCTTCCAAACAGAGCATCAGGAAAACGATTTTACTCACATGACAGATTTTAAACAGACAAGTCTCACTGCCCGTCATCAGATTAGCCCGCACTTTCCACAGTTACTACTGTGTTGTGGGTACAAGTTAGGTTCAAATCCTAATTCTGCTTATTACTCTTTGTGTTAGCCACTTCCTTCGTTGCTGTGACAAAATACCTGACAAGAACAACTTATGGAAGAAAGGGTTTGTTTTGGCTCATCCTGGTGGCAGCACAAGGTCACATCGCATCCCCAGTGAGGAAGCAGAGAAAGGTGAATGCTGATCCCCCTCCTCCTCCCCCTCCTCTTCCCCCTTCTCCTCTTCCCTTCTTCCTCATTTTCCTCCTCTTCCTCCTCTCCCTTCTCCCCTTCCTCTTCCTTTTCTTCTTTCTTCTTTTCCTCTTCCTCCTCCTCTTCTTCCTCCTCCTTCACCTCCTCCTTCCTTAGTTTTTTGTTTGAAACAGGATCTCACTCTGTAGCCCAGGCTGTCCTGGAACTCATTATATATCTGCTGAGCAACCAAATAAAACAATGCATGTAATGTGTCTAGTGTTTTGAAACCTCATAAAATGGTATATGCTGTTGTGATATTAAGACAGGTGGTAATGTTTGGGGCAGAAGAGGGGGGAGGACTTGGACAATTAAAAGTGAATTAATCACACTGAGTGGGCCTCACAAGATTAGTCTTAGAGAACCACCTTTTATTCTGCGTGTGTGTGTGTGTGTGTGTGTGTGTGTGTGTGGTGTGTGTATACCTCTTCCAAGCCTTCATCCTACTTTACTAAATCATGTCATTCAAAAATATATTGGGGCTGGAAAGATGGCTCAGTGGTTAAAAGCATTAGCTGCTCTTGAGAGGACCCAGGTTGGATTCCCAGCACTCACCTGGCAGCTAGCAACCATTCATAACTCCAGTTCCAGGGGCTCTGATGCCCTCTTCTGACTACTGAGGGTATTTCAGGACATTGGTGCTCCCACCTACATGCAGGCATCACATAAAATAAACATAATAAATTATATATATTGACAGTTCCCCCCTCTCACATTAATTTGACTGTCTGGCTCGGTAGGGCGTTCACATTGATCCTAGACTGTCCTGTCGTGGGTCCTCAACTGCTGTTCTGCCCATGGCTTTCAGGCTGTGTCTACTCTTCACCTATCGCTTCACCACCTCCCAGACAAGCACTTCTTTTTCCCAGTGCAGGTTCTTGTAACTATTTACTTGAACTCATGCCCTTCCATTTAACATCTTTATGATCGGGTAACAGGATGCGACTTAAAAGTAAATGAGCAACTACTTTATTTCAAAGTTTGATTTTATAACGAACTTCAGGATTCTTGTAAGATCTTGAAAAGAACTTCTGGGGCACACATCTTACAAAACCAGTCAAGTTCATGCCAAAGCTAACCTTCCACCAGCTTATTTACTTTTCACTTCCAAAATAACATTTTTCATTAAGAGGTTAATGTTTATCCTTGAATGCCCTTTGCTTCAGAGCTGGGCAGTGATCCATGGTTTCCCGTCACATTCTGCAGGGAGCCCGGCTTGTGTGGCTGCCTCTAGATGCTGCTACGATTCCTAATTACTGGAAAAGCTTAAAATCAGGTTCGTTGTAGGGTACTTTCTGTGTGCTTGGAACTGGGGGAGAAAATGAATTAGCTGGTGGGGTACTACTGATGTGAGGTATTTGGGGGAGCTGCCTACGGTTTGTAAGTTGAGAGTTTGGCAAAGAGTCAATGGAGAAAGGTGGTAGGGGGCATTCACACACCAGCAGAGGAATCTCTGGTATCAAAGAGACTGCAGTCAAGAGAAGGTCAGTCTAGTGAAGTTAAGCCTAAAAGCCACATGATGGAACACCTATGGGTGTGTAGGAGGAAAAATGAGTCGAAAAAATATGTTGACATAAAAGTGTTCTGAAAACCCACAAGGCACAGTCTCTACTCTTGAGAGATGTGCCTGTTATTTTGACCATAAGAAGAAAATAGTGACAGGTCCTACTGCTTCTTAGAAGCAAAGCAGTACTTCTCAGACAATTGGATTCATGTAATTTCTTTGCATATATTTATTTGTTTGGAATCAGATATGAATTATCATCAATAAAAGGGTTTCCTGGGTTTTGATCAGGTCAAAATGAATCTATAGATCAATTTGGGAGAACTGAGCAGGAACAGGAACTAAGACAGGGTATATTGATATCTAGCTAGACAATAGTTGAATGGAATAGATTCATCTGGAAACCGGACCAGAAGAAAAAGTGTTTTCATGATCTTCTCACTCCAAGGATCACAGTTCCCAAAGCTTCTACTGCAAACCATTCTAGTATTCCACATTTTCCAGGATTCTTCAGTTCTCAAGAGAACCCTGAAATAGACAAATAGCACTGTCCTAATTAGAACATGACAAGAATTGGGGTTTGTACCACTGAAATTGGGCACCATCTGTATCTGAGGTCCCCTTTGAGAGGCAGTGGAAATTTTTTCCAGATTTCCAGGTAGCTCTCCATTGAAAAGCACCCCTCTGACCCTCTAAATCACGGCAACAAATGAGATTGGACTATCAAACCCCATCTTCAACTTTGACTGTAAGCTTCTTGAGAGCTGAGACCGACTACAAGGATTTTCATTTAACCTCTAGTATTTAGTTCAATGTCTAGATAGTAGTTAAACTAAGTGCTGTAGTAAAAATATACTCTGAAGTATTAGTGAGTTACCATGAGAATATATGTGCACATGTGCTATTTGTTTATTTAAAATCAGCTAACACTCAAGCTTCCCCTTTCCAAACAGAGGTTTGGAAATCCACGATGCCTTTTTCTTACAGCGGTGCATTTTGGAAGACATGGTCTCTGGTTGCTGAAGCAAGGGCAAAACGAGTAAGATGTTCTAAGTCTTACTAGACAGCTCACAACTATCATGCCCATACTCACTCCATTGGCCAGAACTAGCCATGTAACCCTACCTATCTTTAAGCAAAAGGGGAAAGTTAATAGCGTAGGGGAGCAGCAAGTGCCTCAGAATCCTAGTGGAATATTGGCGTACGCATATTGGGATATGTTGGGGATAAAGGTCAGATCTAAAAATCAAAATTCATTTATTCTTCATAGATACCTTTGGTCTGAAGGATGTTCCATGAATTTTTGGATGTGAGCTCAGAAATGGGATGATATCATGTTGACAGTCAGTTTCAGATTTTGGAGCATTCTGGATTTCTAACTTGCAGTCTATCATGAAAAGAATAGCACTCAGGGTCTCTAAATCACCATTGTATAAATTCTATTATCACGGTCTATCCTGAGCAAATAAAAAGGCAAGGTCAGTGATCTCACAGGGTCACTCAGGACACTGTCACCAGTGGCCTTTGTTATATGAGTATTGATCAAGTTCAATTTGTACCACAGAGCTGACTCTGTTCCCTCCAAACAATGTTCCATACTGGCTAAGTGCATCAGGAACAAATCAGAGGGGCTATAGGTCAGGTTCCGCCACTCAGAGGGGCTCAGGTCTGGCTCTGCAAATCGGGGGACTCCAGGTCAGGTTCTGTAAATCAGAGTCGCTCCAGGTCAGGCTCTGCAAATCAGGGGGCTCCAGATCTGGCTGTGCAAATCGGAGGGCTCCAGATCTGGCTCTGCAAATCAGAAGGCTCCAGGTCAGGCTCTGCAAATCGGGGGCTTCAAGTCAGGCTCTGCAAATCGGGGGGTTCCAGGTCAGACTCTTCATATCG